ATGTAGCGAGTGGGCCGGCCGTGCCAGGGCCCGGAGAAGGAGCCTTTGTGTGTCTGGGGCCAAAACAGGCCAGAGGGAAACCAGAGCCCCGGGCGTGGCCCAGCTTCTGCCCATCATTCCACCATTGTGGCTCCAAGAAGTGACTGACCTCTGCATCTGCCTGGAACATTCTTCCCCAAGATTTTGTCACAGCTGGCTCTTTCCCAACATCTGCATCTGTGCCCAGATGTCTCCTCTTTGCTTAAGGCAATGTTCCTTACCTCACTCACCAGTACCAGAACTAAACCTAGACTTTTCTTTTTACTTGACCTAAAACTAGAATGTTGTTGTGTAATATGGGCAATTTACTTTGGTTGTTCAAATCTTAGATGGTATTTTAATAAAATAAAATAAAAAAATCCAGAGCCAGATATCAGGGTGAAAGCTGAAAGATCAGAGAAGCAGAGCAGCCAGCCACTAGTTCTTTTTTTTTTTTTTAAAGATTTATTTATTTATTATATATACAGTATTCTATCTGCGTGTATGCCTGCACTCCAGAAGAGGGCACCAGATCTCATTAGGTGGCTGTGAGCCACCATGTGGTTGCTCGGAATTGAACTCAGGACCTCTGGAAGAGTAGCCAGTGCTCTTAACCTCTGAGCCATCTCTCCAGCCCCAGCCACTAGTTCTTACCTCTATGATATCCTCAGCCTAAAGAGAGTTGAGTTCCTGTTTCCTCTCGCCTTATATACCTTTCTCTGCCCTGCCATATTACTTCCTGGGATTAAAGGCGTGTGTGCTTCCCAAGCAAAGGCATGAGATCTCAAGTGCTGGGATTAAAGGTGTGTGCCACCACTGCCTGACCTCTAAGTCTAACCTAGTGCCTGGCTCCGTCCTCTGATCCTCAGGCAAGTTTATTAGGGTACACAATATATCACCACATCCTTTTCTGCGCCTAAGTTTCCTGTCCTAGGAATTTTTTTTGTGTGTGATATATATTTTTTATTTTACAATACCATTCAGTTCTACATATCAGCCATGGGTTCCCCTATTCTCCCCCCTCCCACGCCCTCCCCTTACCCCCAGCCCACCCTCCATTCCCACCTCCTCCAGGTTGTCCTAGGAATTTATGTAATGGAGTTACCATGAGGATTAAGTGGCTTCATCGATTTAGAACACATCTTCAATTTTTTTTGTTTCGTTGTTGAAGCCAGCTCCTTTCACGTGGCTCTGGCTGGCCTCAAACTCACTGTTCAGCTGACCTTGACTCCTGGTCCTCAAGCTTCTACCCCCCAGGATTACAGGTGTGTGCCACCACCTCCAACGTACAGAGGATTTTACAGCTGTGTAGCACAGAGCCAAGTATAGTGGTCCATGCCTGCATCTTAGTGCTTGGGAAGCCTCGGCGGGAAGGTAGAGAGTTCAAGGGTAGACCAGTCTACCCTTGTAGTATGCATATATGTATATGCATGTAGCAAATGCTTAGTAAAGATTAACTTTTAAAAACGTTAGCTTTTAGCTAGACACAGCAAAGCTCCCCTATAATCCCAGCACTCAGGAATTTGAGGCAGGCAGGGGAATTGCCTCAGGGTTGAAACCAGCCTGGGCTACATAAGCAGGGCCCAGTCTCCAGAAGCCAAAAAGGGAAAAAGAAGAAGAGGAGGAAGAGGAGAAGGAGGAAGTTGTTCCATTGTCTTTGTCCCACCTCCTAAACTGTCAGTTTCTGGGCAGGAAATGTAGCTCAGTGGGCAGCGTGCTTGTCTAGCAAGCACAAGACCATGGGCTCAGTCCTCAGCACTGCACAGAACTCTGCTGGTGTCTCACTGGGAGACGCCTGTAGGAAATAACACCTGTAATCTCATTCAACAGGCAGAGGCAGGAAGTTCAAGGTCATCCTCGCTCGGTGGTAGAGTACTTGCCGAGCATTCATTAGGCTCTAAATTCAATTCCCACCACCACCAAACAACAAAACGTAGGTTCCACGGAAGTCAGAGCTCTATGTTCTTGCCCACCAAGGTCTGGAAAGGCAGAATGCAGAACAGGGATTTAAATCCTGGGTCCGCTGAAAAGCGAATGTTCTTGTAGTCTTAAGGGCCCAATTGCACGTCCTTTCTTCCCAGTCCGGTTCTCCACCAAGGGACATGAAGCCGTCTTCACCATCCGCATAAGACATCCTCCCCAGCCCCGGCTGTACCCGCCTTCATCTCTGTCCCAGGGAGGTGAGGCTCGCGGGATTAGGGAAGTAAAGAAGGGGTTGGCCCTGGGAGGGGCTGCGTTTCCACTTCTCCTTCCCATTTTTTTTTTTCTTTTCTTTTTTCTTTCTGCTCCCACCCCTGCGTCTTGCTTTCAGCCCAGTACAACATCAGTGCTCTGGTTACCATAGCCACCAAGACCTTTCTTCGTTATGATCGGCTGCGGGCGCTCATTGCCAGCATCCGACGCTTTTACCCCACGGTCACCATCGTCATCGCCGACGACAGCGACAAACCGGAGCGCATTAGCGACCCCCACGTGGAGCACTATCTCATGCCCTTCGGCAAGGTGCGCAGCCTGCAGAGCTGAACCGGGGCGCCAGGGGACTCTGGGAAGGGGGCGTGCCCTCAGACTCCTGCAGCTTGCTGGGTAGTGATTAAGGACCACCTGCCTCAGAAACAAGTGTGCGCCTATTGTAAGGGACCCTGGGATCAGGAATCTTGCCTGTCTTATTCGCTCTGCGTTCTTGAAATGGTGCTTCATACCTATAAAAATTAGAACCAATCGAAGGAGGCACGCAGGAATTAAATGCCATTTCAAGACCCTTCCCCAAAAGACTCAAGATCTTTAGGAAGAGAGGTGGGAACCTGCGGATTCAAAACAAAACAAAACTAGTTTCTGGTCACCCGAAAGTACTCAAAAGTCTAGAGAGGAGGCGGGCCGTGGTGGCGCACGCCTTTAATCCCAGCACTCGGGAGGCAGAGCCAGGCGGATCTCTGCGAGTTCGAGGCCAGCCTGGGCTACAGAGTGAGTTACAGGACAGGCTCCAAAGCTACACAGAGAAACCCTGTCTCGAAACACCTCCCCGCCCCCCCAAAAAAAAAAACGGCTAGCGGGGTACGGCCTGTTTAGATGGTCAGGGGAGAGGGAGAGAGACGGCGGACTTTTCCTGCTTCTACAGACTCCCCAACCATAATCCAACTCTCCTAGGGTTGGTTCGCAGGTCGGAACCTGGCGGTGTCCCAAGTAACCACCAAATACGTGCTGTGGGTGGACGACGACTTTGTCTTCACGGCGCGCACGCGGCTGGAGAAGCTTGTGGACGTGCTGGAGAGGACGCCCCTGGACCTGGTAGGGAGGGGCGCGGCGGGTGGGGCGGGAGAGCGAGCGGCCCGGTCCTCCTCGGGTGAAGTAGGTCTCGGGGGGGGGGGGGGGACAGTCCTGGGTCCTGTGGTGCCGGGGCACGTAGGGCCAGGGTGGGGCACGGGGCGCAGACAGGAAGCACCCTGCTCCTGGGGGAGCTAGCCTTAACCGGAGCATCCTCTCACTCCCGGCAGGTTGGGGGCGCCGTGCGGGAGATCTCGGGCTTCTCTACCACCTACCGGCAGCTGCTGAGCGTGGAGCCGGGCGCCCCGGGCCTCGGGGACTGCCTCCGGCAAAAGCGCGGCTTCCACCACGAGCTCGTTGGCTTCCCGAGCTGCGTGGTCACCGACGGCGTGGTCAACTTCTTCCTGGCGCGCACAGATAAAGTGCGCGAGGTGGGCTTTGACCCGCGCCTCAACCGGGTGGCACACCTGGGTGAGTGGCGCCCCCTCCTGGCAAGGCCTGGGAAGGACCTGGCGCGGCTTCTGGGCGGGGCCCCCGCGAGGCTGCACCTGCCCACCGCCCCCATGCCCCCGGATGCTAGGGCAGTTCTGGGGGACTGGGGTGTTACCGAGGTTTGCATCTGAGCTAAAAACAAAAAACCCCCGAAACCTCCACTTTCTTCTGCCTGACATCGCGTTTACGCCTCAGACGGCACAGATGCAGGTCGGCCTCGACCTCCCCTCCAGCGCCAAGGTCACCCTCACTGCGGGCGGCGTCCCCAGGTTCAGACCCGCTCCGAGGAGGGGGTCTGGGGCTGATCGAAATGAGCTCCCCTTTACAAGCGTCCTTCGTGACCGAGTCTTGGCACCGCCGCCCTCCGAGCCCTCGGCTTCAGCTCTCCCTGGGAGCCGGCCTTTGCCGCCCTCGGGAGCCTTAACCGCCTGCTCTCCCCCACCCTCACCCCAGAATTCTTCCTGGACGGACTCGGTTCCCTCCGCGTGGGCTCCTGCTCTGACGTGGTTGTGGACCATGCCTCGAAGGTGAAGCTGCCGTGGGTGTCCAAGGACGCGGGGGCTGAAACGTACGCCCGCTACCGTTACCCGGGATCCCTGGACCAGAGTCAGGTGGCCAAACTTCGTCTGCTCTTCTTCAAGCACCGGCTTCAGTGCATGACCGCCGAGTGACGGCCGACTTGGGCCTTCCCTCCGTCAGGCTGGGCCTGCCTCCTTGTCCCCCCGCCAGGACATTTCCAGCAACCCCTGACCCCTGACCCTCTCTTTCTACCGACCTGATCCCTAACAGGGGCTTGTCCTGGTGACAACCCTGCCTCTCCGTGAGTGACCAGAGGCCTGATGGAGCCATAACCTCCCCCCACAGCCAGTGCCAAGTCCTCCCCCAACCCCATCCCTATGGGGCGGGAAATGGGGGCGGATTTCCTACTTTCCAAGTGCCAAAGAGCCCAGAAGGACTCTAAGACCCTCAAGTGGAAACACTCTCACCTCCTGAGGGGGCAGGGAAACTCCCAATTGTGCAACCCCACCCCAGCTCCGGATCCAGCACCGTGTGGGCCGGCTTCAACACCCGCCCCCCACAGAAAGCGCTGTGGCAGGAGTTCTGTGGAGCTGGTGAACACACGGTGAAAGCCATTTTTTAATCATGTCTCTGCTGTCCTTTGGGAATGGTGTGGCTGTCGGGGGGGGGGGGGGCGACTGGAGAGGTCCACATGCAGACACCTAGACCCATTTCAGGGGCCGCAGAGAGTCTCAGCTTCATTTTATTGGTTGCATTTTGGCGGGGGGCTCAAGGGCCGTGGCCTTCCTCACACACATACTGTCGGGGCCTCTCACACTCCGGGTGACATCGGTCAGACCCATACTGTGCAGATCTTCGGGCCAGTGGGCTTCTGGGGAAGAAAAGGGCAGTTCAGGAATATTAGGTTACTACCATCCGTATCTGCGACTCCGTGCTCTGAGAGCAAATCGGCCCTTAGGAGACCTTTGTGCAGGTCTTCACCGTTGGTGAAGGGTGGTCCACACTCCCTAACTTGTGTGTTTGTTTGTTTGGAGACAGGGTCTTTCTGTGTATCTCAGGCCGTTCTGGAACTCCCTTTGTAGACCAAGCTGGCCTCAAACTCACAGAAATCCTCCTGCCTCTGCCTCCCATGTGCTGGGGGATTAAGGGTGTGCCCAACCCCCCCCACCCCACTCCCCACCCACCCCCACCCCCCGCCCTCCAGTCCACTAGTTAGTTTCTCCCTACTTCCCTCTTGGTCTTCCTCAGTCCTCTCTCCCAATCCCTCGTCCCAGATTTTCATCTCTTCCTCCTCACCCTGGCCCAGCACCTCCTGGCTCCTGCCCCCGAGGCTACTCGCCCTTACCAGTCTCTCCAGCGCATACGCGGCTGCGTCCTGGACACTCACAAAGAGTCGTTCCGGAGTCATTCTATCCAGGAGTCCAGCCCGGGTCAAGGTCTCCAGCACCAGGGCTGTGTGGGAAAGGTGTCAGGTGTTGGGGGCCCCCAATCCCTCCCCAAGTGTCCGGTCAATCCCTGCTCCCCCATCTCCCCCTCCCCCCATTCTTCACGCCACACACCATTACACTGAGCCAGGAGGAGACAGATCCCGGCATCCTGGCATCGCCTGGCGAGCTGCAGGAACCAGACAGAGGGGTTAAACCCAAATCAAGGGAGTGGGGTGACAGGGAGTTATTCCTTAGCTCCCCTGCGCCCTCACCTGTACCACTTCCCTGGCCCCCGCAGCATCTGCAAAGCTGATGCCGCTGAGGTCTAGGATCACCACCCTGATGGGCTCGGCACCTAAGATGGGGAGAAGGCAGGAGCACCCAGACGCCTCTGCGGTTCACAGGCAAACCTCCCTCTCTGTCATCCCGACTCACCTGGGTCAGGCAGACCACCCAGCTTTGGAGACTGCTGTAAACAGAGGGAAACAATGTCGCCACCTCCAATCGCAGGCCTCCCCATCCCAGAGGGCCACTCCTCCTTGACCCAAACCCTCACCTTGCTTCTTTCTCCGAACCCCAGATGCCACTCCACGGTGCGGCGGAACTGCCCACGGGTCGCAAAGTAGAGCGGGGTGGGATAGCTCAGGATACAGAGGCCCGGAACCTGGAGGAGCTAAAGGGCGAGAGAGTCAGAGACGCCCTGGCAAATCACTGCCTCCTGAGGCTGTGCCCACCCACCTTGTGGCTCTCCCTGAGCGGCCTGTAGAGCTCAGTCCCCTCAGCCAATCCAAGCGCCAGGCACTGCACCCTGGGGAAGACACTGGGGTCAGATTCCGAGCCTAGCCTGGCCTGGCTGTAGTCACCCCCAAAGTATCTCATTTCAACCGTACCCCATCTCTGTGCTCACCTCTGAGTTCGGCAGACCACTGTCATCATAGAGACGACCACACCCACAGCCAGGCCCAGGTCCACATTCAGGGTCACTACTGCCACCCAGGTGACCATCCACACAGCCTGGAGGACATGGATATGGGTGTTATTTCCCAGGAGAAACACAGGTTCAAGGACAAATATGAGTAAGGATGACCCAGGAGAAAGGAAGCGCGGCAGAGAAAGAAAGGGGAGGACTTCCTTAAGAGTGTACACACCAGCTACAATAATGTCAGACCCTGTGTGGGTTGGGAGGTCTGGACTGGGGGTGAAGTTCAGTGGTAGGGAACTCTGCTAAAATTCATGGGGTTCTGGGTTCAATCTTCACAATCACCAAAAAAAAAAAAAATGCCCCCAAACAAAACCCTGGTCCCATGAGCTCAAATCTCAACCTTTCCCTTTCCTGACATACGAATGAGGTCTGTGTGTCGAAGGTTGTGTGGATTAATGAGCTTAGGACCAGAATGATCAGCTTCGGTCCAGGGCAGAAGCCAGGGATGCTGGGGAGTGGCAACCTGGGGCAAAGTCATTTCTCACAAAGTCCACGCGGCTGATGTGCCATAGCTGCGGCAGTTCCTGCATCTGGAAGAACATCTGGCGCATGCTGGAGATGTTGATGCACGCCAGGACAGCCTGGAGACGGAGAAGAATGGGCCTTTGTCCAAAGGCTCTGGGCTCCAGCCAGTTCCACTCAAGCGCACGGTGCCTCTCTTCCCCTCCCTACCTTGGGCAGGTAGTAGAAGAAAGGCCCCAGCCACAGGAGCACCGAGAGAACCACTGTGCAGGAGAAGAGGCCGGCCAGCTGCGGGGGAAGGAAGGACAGACAAGGGGGAGGAAGAACCTCCTCCACCCCCACCCACGGGAGCCGGTCTCCCTGCCCAGCCTGTCCCATCTTCAGAATCTCCCTCCTCCTAACCCTTTGGCACATACATGCCCTGCTCACCCACTCCCTGAGGCTCTGCCAGTCACACTTAGCCCCGCCCCCCCAGTTAAAGCTCTCTCAGACATATGCAGGTCAACCTCGCCATTGCAGCCCATCTCCATCTTAAAAGGTCCTCTTGGTGCTGATGGCGTGGCAAGCAGGCTATACCCATCTGCTTAGGGTACCAGCAAAGTAAGGAAAACAAAAAATACTGGGGGAAGGGTGACGTGTAATTTTTTTTTAGAGGTCCTTATGGAAAAGGTCAGCATTTTATTGTGTGCGTGTGCGTGCGTGCGTGCATGTGTGCGTGTGCGTGCGTGCGTGCGTGCGTGCGTGCGTGCGTGCGTGCGTGTGTGTGTGTGTGTGTGTGTGTGTGTGTGTAGCAGTACAAGTATGTGCAGAGACGACACACCCCTGTCCCGGTTCTTGTAGAATTTGACACTGAGGCAGGGTCTCTCAGTTGAACCCAGATCTGGCTGTTACAGGGTAGCCTAGCTAGTCCCCTTGCTCCAGGGCACCCCATCCCCCATCTCTGTCTTCAAGACAGGTCGCCATGCCCATGGAGCTGGGATTTGAACTCCTGCCCTCACGCATAGGCCGTTTCCCCAGCACAGATGTACCCTATGTACCCTAGACAGCCTCGAGCCCCAGATTCCCCCTGCCTCAGTCAGCCTGGAATTCTGGGTATGTAATACAACATTCAGTTATTATATATGTGTATGATATGTACTCAGTGTTCTGCCTGCATGTGTCCCTGCAGGCCAGCAGAGGGCGCCAGATCTCATTACAGATGGTTGTGAGCCACCATGTGGTTGCTGAACTGAACTCAGCTCCTCTGCAAGAGCAGCCAGTGCTCTTGACCACTGAGCCATCTCTCCAGCCCATATACTGGGTTTTTCGGGACAGGGTTTCTCTGTGTGACAGCTCTGGTCTAGGCTGGCCTAGAACTCACAGAGATCTGCCTGCCTCTGCCTCCCAAGTTCATCGGAGGCACCATAGCTTTAGTCAGTGCTTACAGCCTACAGAGGTCCTTGTGGGGCTTGTCTACTGTCTAATCCCGCTCCTTATAATCCCTTCTCTCGTTTCCATCCTCTAGTATATAGATGCTATTGGGGCATCCGCCTCTGTCCCCATCCTCTGTTGTCTCCCCTGCCTGAGCACCCCATCTTTTTCTCCTCACCCAAGGACTCTCTTACCTGTGTGTTCCCACCAGCGTCCACCAATAAGCTGGTTGTAGCCAGTGTGGCCGAGTTGGGGAAACAAGAGAAGAGAGAAGACACAAGGTTGGAGACACCGTGGGCCAGGAGTTCCTAGAGGAACGCAGTGGGGTGAGGAGGAGGAAGACACAGGCTCGGGAGAGTAAGGCTAAGGGGTCCCTCTGGAAAAGGCTGGCGTCCTCAACCAGTCTCACACCTGGTTGGGGTCAATCGTGTAGCTATACTTGTCTGCGTAGATGGAGGCCAGGGAGGTGGACACGGCGAAAGTAACCAACGCGATGGGCAGCGCGTCGGCCAGTATCCTGGGCAGCTCATCCAGGGCGGGGAAGAGGGGCTGGGGAAATCTAGAGAGGGAAGGATCCGGGGTAAGGATGGCCTGGGTGCTCCGGGGAAACCGAGCAGAAAGGGCAGAAAGGATGGGGCAGGAAGGGGCGGGGGGGGGGGGGTCCTGAGGGAGAGGAGGGGGAAGGAAGAGGCGTCTTCTCTCTCTCTTACCCTCCAGGCAATAGTCCCACCACCTGGACATTGTATCTTGTGTCCAGGGACGAGGCAAAGCACAGCACAGTGGCCAGAAGCACCTGAGGGAAATAGCAAATTAGGGCCCAGAAAGAGAGGGGGGCTTGTGGAAGAGTCTGGAAGAGGCTCAAGAGGAAAGGGAATCCCAGTGTGGGGCTGGGTGGTCTCAGCAGGTGAGGCCACGGAGTGTTTGGAATGGATGCCTAACAATTATATCTCACCTACCGTGAAGGACGGGGCATAGTGTTTGCCTGGAGAGAGACAGAGAGAGACAGAGAGACAGAGGATCTAAGAGGAGGTCCTTTGGGAATGGACCCAAAAGATACACTTGAGCCATTCTGAGCGGAGAAGCTGGACCATATCTAAGCACGTCGGGATTACCTGTGGAAAGCTCTGACATTTATTTACACAGGAAGAGAGTTACCTAGGTGGACAGTGAAAGGAAGATACTGTGGATTACGGTGAGAGACCCGTGAGGAGAGACTAAAACGTGCGATGGGAAGAAAGGAGGCGGCTGGACCCGGGAAGTGGGACAGGACAGGTGGGCGGTTCTGGTGGGTCGATTGCTCCTCCGGAAGATGCTTGGAGAAGCCTCACAGGTGTCCACGAGACGTCTCGCTTGTGACTCCCGTGCACTCCACAAGGGGGCATTCTACAAGGATCCCGTAGCCTCTAGATCCCACTGGATGGGTTAGATGGGGTGGGGGTGGGGGGACACAGCACGGGGCAGGCAGGGACCTAGGGTGGCCCTCACCATGACTACTTCTCCTGGGATCGGAGTGGGTAACCTGTCCCGGAACCGCACGTTCAGCTCCTTGACCGGCACTAGCAACGCCAGGCTGAGCGCGGAGATGGTCAGTTCCGCAGGACTGCTCCGGGCCAGGGCCGTGAGCACCGCGGCCAGCGTCTGCAGGCAGGCAGGGACCGTGAGCAAAGGCCGGGTGCCGGCGTTAACCGACCCCGCCGGACTCAGCACCGGCCCAGCAGACCCGAGCCAAGCTCGCCCCTCCCCAGCGCCCTCACGCCGCAGCACCGTGCGTCCTTCCCCTCCTTTCCCGGGCCGCGCCATCCCTCTGCCCTCCGCCCCTCCCCTCCCGAGTTATCCTTTTCCTGTGACTTCTAGAAACCTCTTTTTTCCTCCCACTCCCACCTTGAAGAGAGAAAAGCAGCCGATCTGGCGTGGGAGAGACAATCCCAGGAGGCTGGGCAGCTGCGACACGAGCACGTGCAGCGCGGCCCCGCTGGTCAGCGCCTTGACCACAGGCTCGGAGAGAAAGGTGGACAGGACACCGAGCTGCAGCGCGAACATCGCCAGCTGCAGAGAAGGTGGAGGGGGGTGGACATCTGCAGCTCGGGACCTGCCGCCGAGGCCTGTTCCTAACACACACACACACACACACACACACACACACACACACACACACACAC